AGCCTCAGAAACCCTGTACAGGGTCGCTATGGGTTGGAACCAACTCGACGGCACTTAACAACAACAATATATATATAGTTGTTTAGTACCATTGAGTTGGTTCTGATTCATAGTGAACCTGTATAGGGTTTCTGAGGAGTGAGTGTGAACTGCTGACCTTGTAGTTAGCAGTCCAGTGATTATCCTACAGCGCCACACCAGGATATATATATATATATCCAGTGCCACACCAAGACTCTGACAAAGACATTGTTGTTGTTGTTGTTACGTGCCGTGGAGTCAGTTCCGACTCATAGCGACCCTGTACAGGGTTTTCAGGAGCAGAAAGCCTCATCTTTTCCCCCAGAACAGCTGGGAGTTTCAAACTGCTGATCATGGGGTTTGCAGTCCAATTCGTAACCACTACGTTACCAGAGCGCTATATATATATATATATACACACACACACATGTATATACATGTATATGTATAATTTGTATACATATGCACATGTGTATATGTGATTTATACATATATGTGTATGTATGTATATGTACATATACATACGTTGTTGCTGAGTACCATTAAGTCGGTTCCAACCCATTGACTCTGTATTGAGTTTCAAAGGAGCGTCTGGTGAGCTTGAACCACCAACCTTGAGGTTCAAACCGACTTCGCAGTCCAGCGCGTTAATGCATTAACTCACAGTGCCACACCATGATATACATATACTGGTTTTATGTTAAAGAATAACAGTATCAGTTTGAGGACTAAAGTGTGCCTGACTGAAGCCATGGTATTTTCAGTTTCTTCATATACATGCAAAAGTTGGACAATGAATAAGGAAAACTATGGAAGAATTGATACATTTGAATTATGGTGTTGGAGAAGAATATTAAAAGTACCATGGACTGCCAGAAAAACAAACAAATCTGTCTTGGCAGAAGTGCAGCCAGAATGCTCCTTAGAAACCAAAATGGTGAGACTTCATCTCTCACACTTCGGACACGCTACCAGGAGGGACCAATCCCCTGGAGAATGACATCATGCTTGGAGGATCAGCAAAAAAAAATGAAGACCCCCGAGAAGATGGATCAACACAGTGGCAGCAACAATAGGCTCAAGCATAAGAATAGTTGTAAGGATGGCCCAGGACTGAGCAGTGCCACTATGAGTTCAAATTGACTTGATGGCACTTAACAACAGACTTGTTTTATTCCTCTATAGAGCCCAGCCTAAGATATGTGGTACCAAGAGTGGTTCTAATCTTTACGGGAGCAGAAAGCCTCATCTTTCTCCCACAAACAGCTGCTAGTTTCGAACTGCTGACCTTGAGGTTCCCAGCCTGATTCGTAACCACTACATTTTAGGAGACCTACAATGTCACTGTGACCCACCAGTCAGAGTGGGAGCCTACGGAGGTCAGGTTATTAAGGAAGTCTTAGCTCAGTCCCATCTCAGTGGGTCCAGTGGGTCCCTGAATCCATCGTATGTTGATTCCCCATGTTCTAGATCACATAATTGGAATAGATAAACTCAGCAACTGGCAGACCCCCACTATGGATCCATGACATGTGGAGTAAGGACTATTAAGGAAGGAAAAGCCAAATGAAAGCTATTAGAACTGCCCCTAAGAAAATAGTAATTCAAAAGCAATCCTGCATCAAGGATGCAAGAGTGATGAATCCCACCACATCCCATTCAACTACCTTATTTGGCCTATACAAAAAACAGATGGATCTTAGAGAATGACAGTGGATTGTCATAGACTTAAATATGTGGGGACTCTAATTGCTGTTGCTGTTCCAGATGTGATTTCATTGCTTGAGCAAATTAATACATCTCCTGGAACCTGGTATGCAGCTGATGATCTGGTTCATGAGTTTTTCCCATACCTGTTTTGAAAGACCACTGTCTTGGGTAGTTTGCCTTTAGCTGGCAAGGCCAGCAATGTACCTTCACAGTCCTACCTCAAAGGTACATCAACTCTCCAGCCCTGTATTATAATGTAATCTGCAAGGACCTTGATCGTTTCTCCACTCTACAAGATGTCACAATGGTTGACTATAAGGATGACTTCATGCTGACTTGACCTAGAAAAGAATAAGTACAATGACTGTAAACTTATTGGAAGACATTTGCATGCTATTGAGTGAGAAATCAACCTGACAAAAATGCAGGCACCTTCTACCTCAGTGAAATGTCTGGGGCTCCAGTGGTGTGGAGCATGTAGAGATAATTTTCTAAAGTAAAGGATAAGTTGCTGCATCTATTCTATAACTAAAAAGGAGGCACAATAAATGCCTAGTAGATCTCTTTGGATTTTAAAGATAACATACTCCTTATTTGAATATGCTTTTCCTGCCTGCTTATCAAGCGATCTAAATGTGACTAATTTTGAATGGGTCCCAGAACAAGAGAAGGCTCTGCACCAGGTTCTGTCTGTAACTTGGACCATATGATCCAGTAGATCCAATGGAGCTTGAAGTGTCAATGCAGATAGAGTTGCTGTTTGGAGTCTTTGGCAGACCCCTGTTAGTGAATCACAGCATAGGCCAACGGGTTTTTGGAGCAAAGCCCTGCTATTCTTTGCAGATAGTTACTTTCCTTTTGAAAAACAGCTTTTGCCTTGTTACTGGGCCTTAGTAGACACAGAAGACTTAACCATGGGCCACGAAGTCACCAAGTGGTCTGAGCTGCCCACCATGAACTGGGTGGTGTCTGATTCACAGAGTCATCAAGCTGAGCATGCTCAGTGGCACTCCATCATCAAGTAGAAATGGCAGATACTAGATTGAGCTCAAGCAGAACCTAAAGGCACAAGTAAGTTACAAGAGAAAATGGTCCAAATGCCCATGGCCTCCATTCCTGTTGTTTACTTTCCCTCTCCCAGCCTCCATCTATGGCTCCTGGAGAGTTCCTTATGATCAGTTCATTGACAAAGGGAAAATCTGTGCCTAGTTTTCAGATGTCTCAGCACCCTCAAACGTGTACAGTAGCAGCACTGCAGCCCCTTTCTGGGGCCTCCCTGAAGGACAGAGTGAATGTAGTGCAGACCCCAAAGGGTCCGTGCCCAAGGAGGCAGCCTGATGAGGAGAGAGGAGAACAGGGCTAAGACACCAGGATGCTGGTTCAGACCCAGCTCCTCCTTTGTTCTTGCTGTGTGGCCTGGGCTAAAGCATCCCTCTCTCTGGGTCTGTAAAATTAGTAATAGAGTGAACTAACCCTTGATGTAGATGCCTTCCTCTTCTAAGTTCCTGTGGTGCTTCCCGTCAATCACTTCCTGTGAGTGCTCTGTCACTACCTTATAAGCAGAACTCCCTTGATCCTGCCAACCATATTGATCAGTTTTTTATTCAAAGCACAGTTTAGAACCTGCTGCAATGTATTTCACCCACTGATTTTCAGTGGTTCATTGATATGAGCCATTTGCAGGATAGTCTTCACCATTCTCAGACTGGTGAAATCCTGCTCCCAAACTCTCAAGGGCGGACTGTTCCTTCCTTGGTGCTTCCAGCCTATTCTTGCCATAGTAAAACCCAAACCCAAATTTACTGCTCTTGACCCGATTCCAACTCATAGCAATCCTATACGACAGTGCAGAACTGCCCTGCTCCATAGGGTTCCCAAAGCTGTAATCGGTACAGATTCAAACCAGTTCAAACAGGTTCAAACTGCTGACTTTTCAGTTAGTAGCTACCGGGCTACTGAACCATTGTGCCACCAGAGTAGAACATGAAATTCCAAAGAAAACAAATCACCAGCAGTGGCTACCATCTGCCTAAGTCTGACTTCACCCTCAACAATTAAGAAACAAAATCAAAACAGCTGCCATGAAGTATCAAGTCAATTACAAGTCATAGTGACCCCATGTATTGTAGAACAGAACTGCACTCCATGGGACTTTCAGAGCTGTGACCTTTCATAAGCAAATCAGCAGGCCACTTGAACCTCCAACCTTTCAGTCAGCAGCTAAGTGAGTTAACCAATTGTACCATCTAGGGACTCTCCCAAGGAGTTCTGGTAACGTAGTGCGAACCTCAGGGTCAGCAGTTTGAAACTACCAGCTGTTCTGCGAAAGAAAGATGAGGCTTTCTGTTCCCATAAAGATTTACAGCCTCAGAAACCCTGTACGGGGTCGCTATGAGTCGGAACCTACTCCACAGCATACATAACAACAATAACAGGGATTCTCCCACCCACAGCATTAAATAACCCAAATGAAATAACAGCCACTACAATCAGATTTGATAGCCCTCCATGGGTCCGGAGCTCCTCATTAGGATGCTGGTGCTGAATTCCTTGAGTACAGGGCGTGTGTCTTGGGCATCTGTATCCCCCAACCTGAAGCCCAGGGCTGACCCAGAGCACATGCTCATAAAGTGTTGCTGGGTGAACAATGGGCTTTGTACCACCCAAGTCTCCAGCACAGGTAAGAGTCCAAAGACTGGTCCTCCCCACAGAACAAAGGTCACAGTCATACCTTGTCTTTGACACTGTGGTCACAGCCTGAGTCCACAAGAAAGTCCAGAGCATCCAGCTGCCCGTGCTCAGCAGCCAAGTGAAACGCTGTCCTCCCCAGCTGCCAAGGCGGGAAAAGAGAGTGTGCGTCCTGCAGCCTGGAGAGCGAGCACCCCCACCCTGCCCACCTGGTCTCTGCTCCCTAACCACAGCAGGTTTCTCCTGCCCCAGCAACTGCCATCCACTGCATCTGGGAAGCCACTTGGTGGGATCCCTGTGGCCATCTGCATAAAGACAGGTCCCTGAGGTGGGGGCCATTATCTCCATAAGGATCTCACACCACCCCTCTGGACTTTGCTACTAATATTCCAACCAATCTCACATCAGAAAAGACTTCTTTCCATCTCAAAAGCTCTGGGCTCCCCTTCATGTGGAATGTCCCTTAATCTTATTCAAAAATGGAATTCAGTAACCAAATAGCACCTCCTTCAGGAAGCAGAAAGCAGGGATCCCTTCTCCTAACCTGTGCTCTAGCAGTCCTTCCAGACCAGGAGTTTTCCGAGGCAGGCCTGGATCTGCATGACCCATAGCTTAGAGGATACAGTCAAGGAATGAGAGAAGAAGAGGCCTCAAGAGTTTCAGGCCCAGTGGGAAGGACGAACAGTCTTAAGGCAGTTCTCACCTTGTCAGCGTGGTCCAGAGTCACATCCTCCAGGTCCTCCATGATGAACGCCAGCACTGGCACGTGGCCTTTTTGGGCTGCGCAGTGCAGTAAGCTCAGGCCATCCTGCAAACAAGCCCAGGATGGTCCCTGCAGTCTGGGAAGGGAGACCCTTCTCATAAATTGACAAACTGTGTGTGTTTAGGCCCCCAAATGAAACTTCCCTATGGAAGTAATGTGATGAATGGGAGATCAGCCCCTCAGATAACCACAGTGCCCACTCAGTCTCATACAGGGTGCTGGGACAGAGTGCAAACCCCAGCTTCAGTGTGTATCAGTGCTATGATCTTGGGCAAGATACCTCTACTTCTGTGAGTCTCCAGTTTCTCATAGGTCAAAGTAGGCTGGTAATTTCTGACTACCTCAGGAGTGAATGAGAGGATCAGATGGCTTCACTTACATAAAAAGTATTTTATCAACTGAAAAATTATTGAGATTCCAGTGAGGTCACATAGCACCAGCAATGTCCCAGAATGTCCCTACAGAACTCTACTGTGAAGGCTCTAAGCACCTGCCTCCCTACAGCTGCAAGTGGAGAAGCAGGTGACAACATGCCCTGTGTGCCACAGGAGATGACCTGCTGACCTTCCAGCATCAGGAGCAGGACTGAGAGCAGATGTTCTCTGCAAGGACTAAGAAGGAAATGGTCTGTGGGGAGAGTAGGTAGGAAGGAGGTCGATTGGCCCCTTTAATATCCATCAGTGGCTCCCTGGTCTCCCCATACTTCTCAGCATAGGCAGGGCACACATCAGGTGCTCAACAAATACTTGTGAAGTTGTTGTTGTTGTTGTTGTTAGGTGCCATCGAGTAGGAACAGACTCATAGCGACCCCATGCCCAGCAGAACGAAACAATGTCTGATCCTGGGCCAACCTCAACTACCACTGGCTGCCACACTTGAAGCCATCAATGATGCCACCTGGCCAATCCATCTCACTGGGGGTCTTCCTCTTTTTCTCTGACCCTCCATCTTACCCAGCATGACATCCTTTTCCAGCAACTGTTCCCTCCTGACAATATATCCAAAGTATGAGAGATGAAACTTAGCCACCCTGGCCTCCAAGGAGCACTCTGGCTGTACTTCTTCCAAAACAGATCAATTGGTTCTTTTGTCAATACTTGTGAAGCCTGCTGGCAAATTCTAAGTTAAAAGTCCATAATAGTTAAAACTTCTTGGAGCTCTACCTTAAACTCTTTTTGTACCACCCTAAAATGTCTTCTAAGTAAACCTCCCAATAGACTGAACAGGATATTGTCCCCTTCCCTAAAACTACACCCTCTTCCAAACTGTGATACTCCATTTATGGAAAAAAGACAAGTCTTAATAAGCACCTCTGAAGAAGGTACACAGTATCTCTAGATAAGACAGACCAAACGATGGGCACTATCTTGTTTACCTCTTCCAACTTAACAGGAACACTATTTTAAGCTTAACCAAACCCAGAAGGCCTGAGGAGTCCCTGGGGAGCACAAGTGGTTAAGCAATTGACAACTAGCCAATAGGTTGGCAGTTAAAACTCACCCAGAGGTACATTGGAAGACAGATTTGGTAGTCTGCTTCTGAAAGGTCACAGCTTTGAAAACCTTATGAAACAATTCTACTCTACACACGGGATCACCATGAGTTGGAATCAACTTGAAAGAAACTAACAACAGCATGGTATATATCAACTAATGCCTGGGATGATAAAGCCAGGGAAAAGAGAAAGTTTCAGGACTGAAGCTGGAAGAGGTAAACATGATAGTGCCCAGTTTGTGGTCTTAGCTTACCTAACTATGGACATTTCAGAAAGGGATGTGGCTGGCCACGATGCCCAGGGCAGATCACCCCTGGCCTAGAGAAGGATACTGTTCCCTTTTTCCTCCAAGGACATCTCTTCCCGATGTGTGCAGGGGTCCCTGGGCCCTTCAGTCCCACACTCCGGCCTCACGTGCTACATTACCCATAATTCAGAGTCTGTCATAGCCATGCCTACCACTACCAACAATATCCTGTTGTTGTTGTTAAGTACCATGGAGTTGGTTCTGACTCATAGTGACCCTGCACAGGGTTTCCGAGGCTGTAAATCTTTACAGGAGCAGAACACCTCATCTTTCTCCCGCAGAACCGCTGGTAGTTTCGAACTGCCGACCTTGAATCAGCAGCCTGATTCGTAACCACTACACTACCAGAGCTCCTTAAAATTGGAAAAGGTGTGAG